TTTTTTTTTTTTATTTAATGTTTAGTATAGACACATGTGACCACTTATCGGTTGCTTTCTTTAATAATGACACAAATTGTGATGTGTCTAATAACACCCCTTTTTAACAAGTTCATATTCATCTTGACTTTAGGACACGTCATGCCTTGTATTTTCATATTAATCCATGTTTCAACATCACTCAAATATTTAAATGACGTGAAACTGTTCTGTCCACTGCTAACCATGCAAATATATCTAATGTTATCAAAACTGCTATTCAGAAGTTTGGGGTCAGTAAGATTTTTTTTTTCCCTTTATTCAGTAAGGATGCTTTAAATTGATCAAAAGTGACCGTAAAGACATTTTATAATGTTACAAAAGATGAGAAGTCTGCAACAATCAATCATGTTTGTCTACCTTATGTTTACATAGAAAAGCTACGGAAGAGCAGTGCAGAGTGATGAAAAAACAAATCCCGACCCTTAAGTATTTCTGTGTTTGTTTGTGTAGGCGGGATCCTGGCTGGAGTGATCTCTGATAAGTTGGGAAAGAGGGCCACCACTTGTGCTGTGATGCTTCTGCTGGCTGCGCCCACAGTATGTCATTCTGCTGATCAAATACAGGAAGCTTGTGCATTTAATGACTCTTCGCTGTGTCACTTTTATCTCACTATTGACAGTGGTGTGTGTGTGTGTGTGTGTGTTTATATTAGCTCTACGGCTTCTCTATGATGAGTCAGTTTGGTCTGGGTCCCACTATCGGTAAGACATCCAGTCCTAATGTTGCCTTTCAGTGTTACATAAGAGCTTTTGACCACCGTTGCTTTGATTCAAATGAGAGAATTAATAAGATTAACAGTGGATAGCTGATGCCAACTTTAATGTGTTATTATATTTAATGAAAAATGCTTAGTAATTATGCGGTCTGATGTTTGCATGTTATTTGCTATAAAGGCATGCTGCTGGTGTGTGGTGGTTTAGTCAATGGACCGTATGCGCTCATCACAACAGCTGTCTCTGCTGGCTTGGTGAGTGTGTGTGTCTGCTTTGTATCAGGTCTAATGTGTATTTGCATAATAATTATGCTTGTACATGTCACATGCTGTTTTCTCTGATGGATTATTATTATATATTTTTTTTTATCTATAGGGTACACACAAGAGTCTGAAGGGCAATGCCAGGGCTCTGTCTACGGTTACAGCTATTATAGATGGCACTGGATCTATTGGTAAGTGTTATAACTGCTATATCTCCAGCCACTCATCGATGTTATATTGTGGTGCTGTCTCATGTAGAGCTGAGAGGGGTCACTCTTGCACCTTTCATCTTCTGCAGGTGCTGCAGTTGGACCTTTGTTGGCAGGGTTGCTGTCCTCACAAGGCTGGGATCAAGTCTTATACATGCTCATGACTGCAGACTTTTTAGCACTGCTGGTGAGTTGAAAATAGATGCCGACTGCATTATTTCAGAGGTTTGAAAGCATAGTTCAAATAAAAACCTTAAATGTTTTTTTTTTTTTTTTTTTTCTTCTGAAAACCCTATATGCTGCTTTTTCCATACAGTTTTTAGAGACTATCAAGCTCCTAAAAGAATCGAAAAACACCATAAAAGTAGTCCATACACCCCATGCACATTTCAAGTCACCTGAAGCCATGCAATCTGAGAAACCGGTTGAAATTTGAGTTGTTTTGCACGGAAGGTTTTCTCAAATCTTATTCTCCATCCTACATTTTCAAAAGACTTGCATTTTGGTCTGTTTCTCACACATAGTTAGTATATAGTTTCAGAAGACTTCCAGACAAGTTCTAAATAAATTTATTTAATAACAAACACGCTTTTAAATAACCTAAAGTAGCTAAAAATGTAGATTTAAGCTGACATTTCTCATATTATTTGTTCCCTTAACAGCTGCTGTTATTATTTTAAGAACCAGGGTTTTAATGGTCACATGATGGCATTTTAAAAGTGTGATTTCTAATTTTTTGTTATGATTTTTTTTTATTTTATTTTTTTTATAATGAATATACATTTTTTAGTTGTCAAATTCAAGTTCTTTTCTGAAAATGAGCAGCTTTGTCAATACAACAGAAGTACCAATAATATCTTATTCGTAATGCTTATTTTATTGTTGTTTTTTTGGCCTTTTTGGAGCTGGACACAAGCGGTCACTATCAATTGTTGTATGTGAACATAGAATAGAAACTAGTTTTACTTCCCCATAGGGAAGCAAGTTTTGCGGTGAATACAGTTTGACAACACCGTACACTTAAGGCAAGTGATAAATTAACTAAAGAATTCACACACAGTTATGACATCCAAAAAGAATTAAACGAATGGTTGTATGCTCTTCAGCTTTTACTGAGACTTGTGATGAAGGAGCTTTGCTCTCATAGGAAGCGGCCGGGAGTCTCTGTCGAGTGAGTGTTGTTTTGTTCTTGTTCTTTAGTTAGTTACACTTACAAATCAATGGCCAGTCAGGGGACCTCCTATCTTTTATAAATACAGTTTTGATGATAAGTCGTTTTTTCTGTTTCTTTCTAGACTGAAGGAACATTGAGTACTTTGCACTAACTGAGCGAGAGAAGCAGTGACGGGCACTGGATATAAATGTTCATCTCTCAACAGTTATGTTATCGGACCACTTCCTACCCTGGACCAAAACTTGACTGAAACCTGTGCTTAGTCCTCTGTTTTAGAAAATGGACTATACAAAGAGACATTTCATTTCCTTTTTCAGATGAGAAATCATCAGTTTAGGGTGAAGCAACTTTAAGGAAATATTTTCTTACAGAATATTTTTCTGTCTAGTTCATCATGAAGATTCAGTCTGGACCTACAGCTCTGCTTGCATTTGTCCTTTTGGTTGTACTCAAACAAATGAACGTGACTCAATGCGAGATCAAGCCTAAATATCCCTCCAGTTAAATAATGCACAAGTGCACAACCAAAAGTAGCCTCCCTTTGCTGCTAACAAGGGGAATTTAAAATAAATGCAGTATAATTTTTACTCTAGATCCCCGCCGGGCACACAGCACCTTCATTAAACACGCAGAACAAATGTCCCTGTAGATAGTTCATAAATCCATTCTTGCATGAATTGTCACATCAAATTGAACATGACAATTTATGTAAGAATAGTTTAAGAATGATTTACACCGAATTTTGGTTGTGCTCGTGCTTCATAAACGAGGCCTATAGAGCCCATAGCCGATTGTTAGTTTATTTATGTATGTGTGTGTGTGTGTGTGTGTGTGTATATATATATATATATATATATATATATGCTAAATCTATAATATATTATAAATCTCATCTGCCTTTCTATAAACCAAAGCCAATGCTGTTAGTTGTTGAGAAAATGTGTTATATTTGGACTGTTTTCTGTGTCTTACTGTGGTGACGTTAATGGTTCTTATCCTGTTTATATATGGGAGATCCACTAGCCAATTATGACTAATTATTTTATTTTATTTTATTTTATTGTATATTTATTTATTTTTTCACTGCTGGCCTGTGACTTAATGAATAAATGTTGTGTTTTGAGTCCGTATGACGGAAGGTTAGCAATCGTGTTTATCAGACCACTATTCATTCATATACAAACAGACTTCAAGCTGTTCTATATTAATAATATAAGATATGTCAACATCATAATTTGTTTTCTTTGTAGGATGCAGTATGAAAAATTTAAAATAATTTCTGTTTCCAGGTTTAAAATGTTCCCATCAAGCTCGGTTTGTATGATCTGTGAGCAAACCCAAAGTGTCTCCTTGACTGTAATTTTATGTGCACATTTAGGACCCGCACCTGCCTCTGCAGCTATAAATATTTAAAGTGTCTATTTGAATGTTCAGGTTACTGTAGGATTGTGTCGTTCTGCTGAGCTAGAGGCACATGTAGATGCTTGCTATAAAGCTGGACCTCTTATGTAATCATACGTGTAGCACGTGTGCATTTGCCCTTACAGGATGACATACTCTAGGTAAATTAATGTATCTGTATAATTTATGGGTAGTTCCCTAGTGTAATGAGAGAAAATACATTGTGCCTTCTTTCTATTTGTGATTTTGTATAGGGATATGTCTTTGGAGTGTTCATTTGTAAGTTATTATCAGTACCTTTACAGAATCCTGGAACAAGTAGAGTTTTGGGAATTAGCTGTACTGTGTTGCTGCGTGTGCAAAGAGGACATTTTGAATAAAGCAGACACAAAAGGCAACACATCTTCCTCCTTTTTTTTGACAGTGCAAGCTATGTGCTTTAAGAATTTTGTTTTAATTATATAATTATAATAATTTTATACACAGATTCATGAATGCATGATTAAATACAATGAATACTAATAAAGTATGTATCTATATATAATAAAACGTAAGAATTTATTAGTGATGTTAATCGATTAAAAAAATAAATAAAATGTACATTATAATTGAGAGCAATCTATTTTAATTTTTATTAGACTTTAAAAAATATCTTCTAATTTAAGTGAACTTAAAATATTCTTCACATAAACCCATTATAATAAATAAACTTCAGCAAGTAGGAAATGTACAGAAATTGAATAAAGTTATATAAACACTAAATTCTAAATTAAATATTGATGAATCCTTATAGCTATTTCCTGTTTTTTCTTTTGTTCTTTGATTAACAGACATCATAGCAGCTGTTAGGTTATTTTGGCTGCTTATTGAACATGATGTGGATCTGATACGCATGGTATTTTCTCACAACTCTACCTTTTCTGACTCGCTTCAGGTCTTAAAGGGCCTGTTTTGCTTTTTCTCTGATCAAATAGCTATCCAATCGTGAAAAGACAAGGTGTAAATGCCCTCCAAAACGCTTTCAAGATGGATTTAAATCCGATCGCTCAAACTTCAGAAGGTCTGGGACGCATGCTCCCGATGTTGCAGCTATGATAAAATCTGGTATGCTAGGTAGACGCACCTATATTAGCATAGGTTGTTGTTGGTTTTTTTTTTTAATCAATAACATGGAGATAAAATGTATCTAAGTTTAAATTCACAGTCATCTAAACTTTAAACAGCAGAATAAAAATACTGTACATCCAAAAAGTAACTTTTCTACCTCAAATATAAATAAATATACAGGTGCATCTCAATAAATTAGAATGTCGTGGAAAAGTTCATTTATTTCAGTAATTCAACTCAAATTGTGAAACTCGTGTATTAAATAAATTCAATGCACACAGACTGAAGTAGTTTAAGTCTTTGGTTCTTTTAATTGTGATGATTTTGGCTCACATTTAACAAAAACCCACCAATTCACTATCTCAACAAATTAGAATATGGTGAAATGCCAATCAGCTAATCAACTCAAAACACCTGCAAAGGTTTCCTGAGCCTTCAAAATGGTCTCCCAGTTTGGTTCACTAGGCTACACAATCATGGGGAAGACCTTTTCCACGACATTCTAATTTATTAAGATGCACCTGTATATATAACTATTAATGCAGTTAATGCAGAATTAAGTAAAATAAAATAATAATAATAATACAGAATTGAATATATATTCAGTGCACTGACCATTTCTCTACAAAGTGATTTTGAAAAATTCTTACCCAGTAGGCCTAATAACAAAAATGAAAATCTATTGTTCAGAAAGTGTAGAAACCATTGTCACATTATATGTTTTCTGTTTCTTTTACATAAAATAAATATCCAGTCGAGCTCTAGCTCTAGATAATAAGATATTCTATAGACACCGGCCTCATCTTAAGAGGTCAGTGAGAGTCATCGAGTGCTTTGAGTGTCCATGTGCAGGTGACACAATCATCAGTGCACACACACAGACAGGTGGCAGTCAGGCAGTGAGAACAAAACAGATAGACTTTCTCTGTTGAAAGGATAAGTGTTCCATGGTGTGTGAATTCATACATGCATATAATTGAGTATAATGAGCATGTTTCACCGCTCGGGTCATTACAGTATAACAGATGAATCATCTGACTTGCCACAGGGAATCACACGCTTCCCCTGAATGACTCTAGTGCTGAACCCGTGTTCATTATGCTACCTCACCGCCCACAACCCAGACTAACCTTCATGAATTCATTATTGTGTCATGATTATTTCACGTTACATTAGGGTCTTTAAGTCAAGTCAAGTCACCTTTATTTATATAGCGCTTTTAACAATACAGATTGTGTCAAAGCAACTGAACAGCATTAATTAGGAAAATAGTGTGTCAATAATGCAAAATGACAATAGTAAACACTCATTTTTCAGTTAAAGACAGTTCATCATTGAATTCAGTATAGTTGTAAAGCACTGCAGTGTATCTTTTGGTATTATAAGTATTATACGCTGTAGAATCTACATTTGCTATTGTATTTCTGATGTTATCTATTTTATCAGTGAAGAAATTCATAAAGTCATTACTATTAAACTGTGAGGGAATATTTAGTCCCAAATATGGACTATTTAGTCTCTACTGTTATGCAGTAAAAATTATTTGTTTTTATTGTTATTTAAGGAATTAAAGAATTCATCAAATCCATTCATAATCATCTTTGTGCTGTTGTTTTCCCACCCTACTTTTGAAAGTATAGTTCATTTAAAAATGTAGGCTATTTCTTCAGTGGAACTGGCTTTTGTACATTAAAGGGAAGGATTAATAGGGAAAGTGATACTGAGCACAAATAAAAACTGATTACCATTTTTTTTTTTTAAATGTAATACATGATATTATAAAACATTTTATTGAACCCCCCCCCACCCACACAGACACACACACATCGGTTAAAAAATAAAACTGCATGCATCTTGCGGAAGAACATTGTTCTGGTTGTCTTTCGGCTCAATCGCCCGGATGAATGTGGAATATGAGAAATAGCAACATTTAGGCTATTTTCGTTTTACAATAGTGATTCACCGGAAGTTCGCCGTTTTTAATAATCGATGGTCAATTTTTCTCTTTCGTTAATTATGACAGAAAAAAAACAACAACCTTAATAGCTTTTCCAACGAGCCAATGTAGGATGGATATGCATGCAATTTCCCGCGAAATCCGTCCCGACAGCTCTAAAATATAAGCCATTAGTATAGATGTATTTTATTAATATATTTATTTATATAGTGTATGTGGGTAAAGAAGGGTTTTAGAAGATCTAGTTTTGCACTCTGTCATTAATAGCATTACAAAATACTTAGTGCAACTTAAAGTAAAGACCAAAAAAAAAAAAAAAACTGGTAGGTCTAGATATTTTGTGTGCGCAATCTGCTAAAACAAAAATAGTGGAATTATTTAAAATTCACATTTATGTTCACTTAATGTTAAAAATAACTAATTTTATTTCCATATTTGGAATAAAAAAAATATGAGCTGTCTGCTGCGGCATGACCCTTTAGGTTTCACACACGGCATCCTCGCGGGTCCTTGTGGGGCTCGGTTACCATGGAGATCATAAGGAGAGCGCGCGCTAGTGGGAGTGAAGGGGGGGCGAGTTGAGAGATCAGTGGCGACACAGTATCTGCGTTATTAAATCCGTTCCAGTTCAAAGAAACGGTCAGAAGTTTATATTAGGGCTGTCACGGCGGCACCGAACGAACGGAAGCCGGTAGTCTGTAGGCCAGGGCAGCGGACGGAGAGAGAGGGCAGCGAGATGGGCAGCGCGTCTTCGGCGTATCGGATGATATACCTGGACGCGGACGGACGGACTCAGAAGGTAAAACGCGCAAACTCTGACTAACGTTACATGCATGACGGAAAGAAAGCACATTAACGAATAAACGGTTCAGAAAGTTTCAGCTGCTTTAGTATCTGTATAAGATCATGTTTATTATATGACTCTTTTGGTAACATCGCTTTAAAACTGGTTATATAATAATATTACGAATGTATAAATATGTAATATATACTCCATCATATTAAAATTATGTACAAATCCATAAAAGTAACATTTAAAGTCTCTTTTTAATCACTGTATATTTTATTTTGTCAGTACAGAACAACCTTGAATATTGAACCATGTTACCATTTTATACAGTAAACAACTAATTATTTACCAATGAATATTTGAGAACTACAGTAGATTGAATTCAAATTTAGAGTTTTAAAATTTACATGTAGATTGAGATGGAGCAGTTCAATTTATTAATGCTTAAGCTTTTTCTTTACCTAAAACATCTTCAAAGAAAATTAAATGAAACAGCCAGAAATGACTGACTGATTTGACTATATGGCTCTTTGGGGATTATTGATGTTACATTGTAGGTTTTCTGTTTTTTGCATTTACTCTTCACCTATAACAGAATTTTTAAGAATTCTAGTCATATGAATCATTTTCACTGATCTGCACTTGTTAACTGTACATTTTCACTCTTACTGTTATTCACACCCTCTTTTTAATGACTCCAGGTTGCCTTCATAAAACGGTTTATTCGTTTTTACACACAGAGTAGCCAGTATGTGATGCTTCACCACATTATAAAACTCACGCTTGGTCATGTTTTCGTGGAAAATCTCAACTCTGTCATGAGGTTGTAAGTGAACAGCCGGTCTGATAGCCTTTAATAATGTTTCTAATTAATAGATCTGGTATGATTGAGATATTATCAGTTAAATTACAGGTATCCAAGTGACAATCAGTTTCTAGTTTGTTGGTCACACTTTATATTAAGTGTCTTAACTACTACTGTATGTGCTTGCACTTTAAAAATATCCTGTTAAATTTACAGTGAAATAAATAGAGGCCAGAAATTCACTGGCAATGTTTCAGGGATTTCGTCAAGTGACGTAATGATATACCAGTCTACTTGAACTACCTAATTTGGCTTTTTATCTCAGAATGTACTGATAACCACCACGATAATACAGGTGGTATACTAGAAAACCACATGATGAATCAGAGTTCATCGTAAGTGACCTGTTCATAAAACATGGCCAGTACAGGCAGTGCACAGGGTCATACGCACAAACACAAGACGCCATCAGGGAAACACACCTGACATGAAAATAATGCAACAAATATTAATTAAACTTCTGGAAATATCATTTTACAGTTTTGCACTTTAAATGATATGGTAATTCATAGTTTTAACTTCTAAAGACCATAAATTTGACAGATTTTACAGTAAAATTACTTTTAAAGGAGTCTTTCACCATATATAGTAGTAGCTTTTTACTATAGCATTTTAACAGTTTTTTTTCTGTGAAAATTAAAAACCTTTTATACAGTGTGCATTAAAATGCATGACATGATATTCAGTTCACTGTAAAATAAAAGTAAGCTTAAATACTATTTGTTACTAGTAGACTATTATAATAGCACTTTTTACAATGGGGTGCAAATTATGATGCATGCTATTTCTGTACGCGTGTGATTACATGCAGTGTAACAATACATGCATAAACTAATATAAATTGGGACTAAATAATTGCTTGCACCAAATTAGTGTGTTTTGCATACATTATTAGAGTCATACAATGCTTATGTGTTATTCTGTTTGTTACAAATGTCCATCTGCCTGCCATTGTTCAGCCTTGGCAATGGGACAAAAACAAAATAATCAGCATTTAAAAGCTTAGAACACAATGAAAAACAAATGGACATTTTAATGAGCACATCTGTGTGTATGCATACACCCACACTTTCTGCACACACACAGTGTATACGACAGGAGAAGTGGTGAAATATCATTTTTGTTCTAGTGCAACTGCATGTCTTCAGGCTTTTTAGTGGGTATTCAATTAGAGCTCTACAGTCCTGAAAATACTAGAAACTTCTCAGAGAACTGTATTTAGATGCTCCACTGCTAAAATGAAACTATTATAACAGAGTTTTGCACCGTGGTTGGTGGTACATAATTTTATCATCTCTATTCTCTAAGGCTGTTAGTTGTGGGTTTTATGTTTCATCTTTGACAAAGTGCACAATTAGTAGCCCCTTTTTTGGACACTAATAAGTATTTCTCATATATTTGAACTCAGAACCTGCAATAGTATTGTGGAACAATTCCCCCGTTCTCCCTCTTTCTCCCACCATTTTGCTCACTCTCATCTGTCTTTGCAGTTCGAAGTCTTATTATCGTTCTCGCTCTCTTTTCCTCTTCCTTCGCTCGGTCTGTCAGCTGCACCCCGCTCATTGTCTTTTTTGTGTTGTCACCTGTTTTTGCTGTCTTGTTGTGCCTGCTGATGATAGATATACATGTGTTGTAAGTGGGTCAGAGTGCTCAGAGTCAGGACTGACAGACACTACATACAAATGATGGACGACAGCACTTGGCCTTGGCTGTGTGCAGAGTCTCAAATAATCGATAAACTATCAACTGTGATGGTCAGCATCATACATAGTATGATATATATATATATATATATATATATATATCATTATAGTATTAAACAATGGATTAAAAATCATCAAAATGCATTATTATTATTATTATTATTATTATCACTAATTACCTTTTTACTAATTTTGACAGATTTCTGTTATGATCTTGCCACCTACCCAGAATTTTTAACTTCCCCTTTAAAAAGTGTTAAAATCTGGGAAATTAGAGTGTAAAAATTATATTTCAATAATTTATGCATTTATGCCTAAAATGTAATAATTTAATAACAAAGAACTGCTGTCCCTTATAATGGTGTCATTACCATCATGCCACACATTTTAGAAAAATATTGAGGTTTTGCAAATTTGGTTTTGTTGGAATGAAAATTAAAAGGGAGCCTTTTTCTGCCAAGACATCAGAGAAACCATTTGAAAATTTGCAAAATTCTCTATATTTGGTTTTGTTGGAATGAAAATTAAAAGGGAGCCTTTTTCTGCCAAGACATCAGAGAAACCATTTGAAAATTAGAAACATCATCATGGTCTGAGAGAAGCTTTATTAGGTGTCATTACCAACCTGTTCAGCATTTGATCATTTTTATTCGTAAAACAAATTTATTTTAATTTCCATGTGAAGTGACATGAACTGACATGCAGCTTATTGTATTGGCAAGTCCAAGGCCCCAAAATGTCCTTACCATCACACGCCATTACCGTTGCACACAATATTAAAAATCCACACCACCATACCAAAATTCACAGGCTGATCAAGGTTTTATCTTTAACATAGCATAAATAAGTTTTATTTTTCAGGATTTTAAGTCAAAAGTGGCCCTGACTGAATAAGCTCAGTTTATTTTAGAGACACTGATCAGACTTTCTGTTTCTTTTAGGTGGTTTTCAGCCGTTTCTGCAGCCCATGTGATATAAAAGAGTTATTCTGCACTGCCACAGGGCTCTCCAGGTACAGTATATGTGAGTGTGTGTGTGTAGTTGAAGTGTTTCCACTTTTGAAGTGCTCCCATATTTAGAGAATGTATCTGCTGCTGACAGGAACACAACCATCTCCCTTCTGGACTCAACAGGAGCAATGGTCTCCATTGACCCCACAATGCCAAACAACTCAGAGAGGTAACTTAGCACTCCATCCCATTTATAAACATAAATCCAATGCTTTTTAGCTGTAAACGTGCCTTATACACATGCATACCTCTGAATCAGTTTCACACACTAATGTCAAAACATTTCATTTAGTCAGAATCTCTTAAAGGGGTCATATGATGCGATTTCAAGTTTTCCTTTCTCTTTGGAGTGTTACAAGCTGTTCGTGAATAGATAACATCCCTAAAGTTGCAAAGACTAAAGTCTCAAACCCAAAGAGATATTCTTTAAAAAAACAAAATAATGTTCTTTTTTAGCAACGCCATATGACCCCTTTAAAACTGATTTTATAGCAAATGGTCCACCATATGGTGTTTTTATAGGTAAGAAATAAAGCAAATAAGTCATTTCACTACTTTTTATATAGACCTTTTTTTCTACAGGTTAATTAAAATGGCCAAACTCTTTAGAGTATTTCATCTCTCTTAGCAGTAACTTTTTTGTTAAATACTAAATGTTGGAGAGTTTATAATATAAAACCAATCCAATTTAACGCCAATTTGCAGACACACTCAGGGAAACATAAAGACGTTGTTTAAACATTCAGAGGTGAGAAGCCCAGTAAACTAGCCTACTGTCTGAGCCTTATCTGTTGGTTATATGGAGATCTGCCCTACATGCTAGACAAACAATGGATGGCAGCCAGATATAGATAAAGGGGAAGGTACTCTTTGAGAACCATGTACCCATTCACTGTCACAATCACAATCGACTGCCAGAGGAGTAGACATCTTGGATGGTAATGCTACAGAAAACTGCAGCTCTCATGAAGAGTTACTGGACTGTCCTGTAGGGAGAGGGGACGTGTTTTAGTGTGGTGCCAACTGCTTTGTAACTTCGTTTGTCTGTCCTGGTGTTTTTGAAGGTCACCGTACAAAGTGGTGCCAATAACTGGCGGACAACTTGCAGGTAAGTGTCAGATGTTCTGAATGGGATTTCACTTACCCTGAATGTTTTTGTATGTGTGAATCACATCTACAGCGCTGTGCTTTCACTGATAGTGTTTACATTCCGGTTGAAATGGGAAACGGGGTTTGTTTTATTATGAAGACTGAAACAGCTCTGGAGTTATAACTCATATGTTCTCAAATCTCCATAAATGGAGTGTGCGGAAAGCTGCGTGTGTTCACAAGAGCAACTCCATTTTTCATTTTGCGAACACTCCTGCAGCGGGGGTGGACTGCAGTCTTTTCAATTTAAATGTGTTATCATGAGCAGAGAAGTGATTATAATCTTTTATTGATTTCAAAGCAAACTTAGATATACAAGGTCCTTTTTTGGACAGATTCTCTGATTCATCTGCATTCCAAGACTGTTTCTTAGTAGATTTATTGTCAACATAATATATTTTTCTACTTGGCTTTTCAATATCCTATCAATTACGCACAAATACTGTGGGTGTTTTTGGAACAACATACTACCATGATACTGTTTCTGCATTATAGAGTATAGGCTACTACGCATAGTATGCACATTTTCTGTATGTATGGACTACATTTGGCAAAATGTGCTGTATCAGAGCAGACTTTAATTGCAAATTTTGTGAGTTGTTGGTGAAGAAAAAATGCATTAATTCATTGTCGTTGTTTGTAAAAAAAAAAAGAAGTACACAAAAAATCTTCTTTTGTCAGTAAATAAAAAAAGACAAAAGGAAATATGAAATTGCACAATGTGCCCATTTAATTCCAAACAAAATCACATAAGCATATCAAATCATAATTACAACCTCCAAACATGTGAGTAGGAACTGCACTGGAGGGCATGAAGGCAGCAATAGCCTGGTTATGTTAATGTGACCTCTGACCTTTGTGAAGTCATTTGGAGATGAAGATGAGAGAGAGTGTGTGCAGTGAACAAAGTCTGTTTAACAACGTAAGAAATCTGTCCGTTTGCATCCCCATTCATCTTTTGTTGCTTCACTGGTGTGGGACCCCCAGATGACCCCCACCTTTAAAAAGTCTGCCATTTTTGGCAGGCTTTGTTGAGCCAGTCACCTGAACCTAAATTCCATATAACTAATGACTCTGGAGTCACAAGAAAATGGCATCATGTCAACATTGATTGGCTGATGGAACGAGAGGACACACACAGGACACTTTACTGGTTACTATCCTGAGCTGAGATGTGAAAGACAGCAGACATGTGAAAACACTGGCAGAGTGGCAGAGTATTATGTAGTGGAATCTTACCAATATAAACACTACAGTCCAAAAGATTAGGGTCAGTCTGATTTTTTAAATGTTTTTAAAAGAAGTCTCTTTTGCTCACCAAGGCTGCATTTTCAGAGTGGCAGAGTATTATGTAGTGGAATCTTACCAATATAAACACTACAGTCCAAAAGATTAGGGTCAGTCTGATTTTTTAAATGTTTTTGAAAGAAGTCTCTTTTGCTCACCAAGGCTGCATTTATTTAATCAAAAATATAGCCTAGTAAAAACAGTAATTGTATTATAATTTAAAATAACTGTTTTCTATTTAAATATATTTAAAAATGTAATTTATTCTTGTGACGCAAAGCTAAATTTTTCAGCATCATTACTCCAGTGTTGAGTGTCACATGATCCTTGAGAAATCATTCTAATGTGCTGATTTTTGTAACATTATTAATGTCTTTGCTGTCACTTTTGATCAATATAATGTCAGTTTACCATCAGTGACTACGCTAACCTGCCAAACCTCGAGCTGCAATGACAGCCAGCCAATAGGACGTTATTGTGTCTCAGGTCCTTTTATTAGGCTGAACTTTGGCCAAGACGGTGAGTGGAGCTACATTTGAAAGTGTGAATATTTATCAGGTCTCACTCTCTATAATTGTAGCTGTCAAGATTGTGTAAGAAGTCACAGTTTCTCTGATACAAGAGCAGGTGAAATTATCAAGAAAACTGGGATTTGTTTGTTCATCTTCATATTCTTAAAGAATTATTTATTCATTGTACATCTTTATTGCTTATTTTATTTAGGCTGACAGGAGGAAACACAGATATGTGAAACACTTCATACATCAGTGTTTGGCCATGATTATGGATGTGGCTTGTTTTCTCATCTCTCAGATAAAGAGGAGCTTTTCCAGAATGTTTTGACCCAGGTAGCAGAGCAGTTCTCCAGGTATTATCACTGTCTCTGCTTCTGTATTTTATGTTCAATCTCTCAGCTAATTCATAATGACCTTCTTTTGATTGAATTTTGAATACCTTTTGGTATTGCAAGGATGAATGATCTTTGTATATTTCTCTCCATCTTCTCTCCAAGGGCATTTAAAATCAACGAACTGAAGACTGAGGTGACAAATCGCCTAGCCATGCTGGAGAAGAGAGTGGAGTGTGAGTTTTCAACTGTTTTGTCCAGTGTTTTGCTAATGGAAAGAGTTCATGTTCAAATTTCATTTCAGCAGAGTTCTAATCTTCACAAACAAGACATTCTGAATGCTGCGCTCTGTGAATTACTGATCATTTATTCTGTAGTGCTTCCAACATCAGCAGTGCATTATAGGTGACATTATGGTGAACCCAGTGCAGCATGTAGTATCTTTTGCATTAGGGATCATGATATGAGGAAGTAGATATGTTTTGTGTTTGATTTATATAAGTGGCTCATGTCAGAAGCCTTCCATACCACAGCTGATGACTCAAATAGCCAATGATGGCTATTTATTGTGTGCAATATATCCTATAAGATTTAGCGCTACAGCAGATGATGCCTGTAGTTGACACAGGTCACATGTCATGCACTTGTCATTAACAGATGAGCTTGTTGTGCACAGTGTTTTTTTAGAGACCTGGCTTCTGAGACATTCATTGTTGTTAATGAAGAACTTCAAGAAACACAATAGCATGCATAGAATCTTGAGTGTATCACCCGAAACGTGTCCAGGTCAATCTTCACTCCAAAATCAAAGGAAAAAATAACTTATATAATATAAATATAGGCGTAAATTATTTATGTACAATATTTATTTATTTATTTATTTAATTGCATTATTATTTATTTTTATGTATTTTTAATTAATTAATTAATTTATTCATTCCCATTTATTTATTTACTTTTTCATTCATTCATTTGAAATGTGACCTGGGCCTGTTCTTTACAGGTTTTCTTGAGATCCACTTATTTGGCTTCCTGTTGATGTGTTTTGTACCTCTAACATCTATCTTCACTCCAAAATCAAAGGAAAAAATAACTTGTATAATATAAATATAGGCGTCAGTTATTTATGTACAATATTTATTTATTTATTTATTTAATTGCATTATTATTTATTTTTATGTATTTTGAATTAATTCATTTATTCATTCCCATTTATTTATTTACTTTTTCATTCATTCATTTGAAATGTGACCTGGGCCTGTTCTTTACAGGTTTTCTTGAGATCCACTTATTTGGCTTCCTGTTGATGTGTTTTGTACCTCTAACATCTGAAAATTGTCATTACTCTACACTTACTTTGTTTCATCATTTGGCAAACTCTTTTTATCCAAAGTGAGTGACCTGGGGTTAAGTGCTTTGATGAAAGCTAATAATCGTAATAGCGCTTTATGGATATTATGGGATCTCTCCAGTTCATAGGTTACCTATTACTTAACTTTTCTGTTCACTCATTCGCTATCTTCTATTTAGCCTCTTTGATAAAATTCTATGAGGACAATGTAAGTTATTATTTACATTATTTGGTGTAGATTTGGATCTATTTACTTTGTCACTTGCATGCCATTCACATGTATAAGGCACTTCTGATCTTTTCAACTGTATTTAGAAAGGAAAGTTATTCATTAGCCTTTTACACTGTATATTTTAGAAGGCTCTGTACCTTGCTGAAGCGTCATGTGCATGGTGCTGTGTACCATCAGAGTATCAACAGAACATGTAAAATACAAAATTAGGTCACAGTTAAATTTTTTTGCTCTTATTGCTCCAATAAGCATGACTGTCATGAGTTCATTTGTTTAAACATTTGAATATATCCTTGCATATTTGTGTAAAGTAGGTGGAGCTATGTTTTCCCATGATTCCTTTTTTCTGCTATCAGATTAAATTGGGCTGTGCTGGATTCGACATCTATAGCACCCTAAAAACAGATGTTTTGACTTAAAAAAACAACAACTAATAAATACATTTAATGCAACAGTTTGCATCAGCCTTTTTGAGGTTGTGATAATAGGTTCCCTGATTGCATCAATAAACTAAATTGCAACAATACTGATTGTTTTCAGATACTCCTCTTTTCTGTCATTGGCTGGTCAAATGGCCACAAACGCAGCTATTGTTTAAGCCAATGTTGCTGTGTTGGACTGGATGGAATGATCAGTCAAACAGTGCTGTGTTTCAATAATGCAAGTGTTTACATTCCTACGACTTTCTTGTACAAATGAGCTGTCTCTGCACATTATGCCAGGAGGATATGAGAAAGTCATTTCAGGTGATTTATTACTGTGCATGGCCTATAAACAGAATAGTAGCAGGAAGTCCAGAGATTATATGATGTATATGATTACACTAATTAAATTATACAATGTGAGTGCAGAGGCCGTGTGTCTAATCAAACTGGACAGTACTTTGGCTCGAAATTCATCTATTATTTGGTAGAAGTAATACCAAATAATATTAAAGAATAAAAAAGAATAAAAAAAGAGCTATCAATCTGTCAATCCTTTCCGTGTCCGGGCTAAATTAGACAGCTGCCAACATGGAAAGGTTGTGTGACATATCTTTATCCTCACAACCAAGGTTTGAGATGTAAATAAAAACAGCTGTCAAATAGATGACAAAGCTGCTTGCACTTCAGACCAGCAGGATGATTTTGGACAATGGAGGGAAACATGCCAGACAGTGACAGGTGTCAAATGTACTTTTTATGGCTCAGCAGTCTGTATGAAAACCATGCGGCTGCAACCCATGTTCACCAGCTCATTTCCATATTTTCTCTGTGTTTGGCTCACTTGAAATATGTAAACCATCTTTTATGTGTCATACTTGAATGCACTATGTGTGTTTCCTCTCTGTCTCTTCAGTGGAGGGGATGAAGGTGGTGGAGATCGAGAAATGTCGCAGTGACATCAAGAAGCTGCGGGAGGAGATGGCCTCCAGGAACAGCAGGTCAGTGACCTCACTGCTTTTTCTGGAGATGTTGGAGTGGCATTTTTGAACTGAATAAAGGCTCAGTTTAAATAGCAGGAAATATCAGTAGCGCCTTGCAACTGATTTTACATCTGTAATCTGATGTGTTTCCAAGTAAAACAGGATATTTAATGAGAAAAAATGTAGGTCAAGACTGGATTTTATCCTTCAGGAAATGATTTTATTGTGAAAAGTTACATGAAGTCAGGTGGTTGGAAGGGTGACGGTGAAAAATATGAGTTTCTAGGTGATGTATAAGTTTAATATAATTGTATTTGATAATATAATATAATATAATATAATATGAATAAAAAAAGTCCACTTCAGTGTACTTAAAAAAGTACAAATTCATGACTTTAACACACTTAAAGTAATTTAACTTGTAAATGGTGCACTTTGTAATAATTTCAAATTATTACAAAAATTTGAAGAAATACAATTTGTATATAATACTAAAGCACATGTAAAGTACTTGATTTTAACTGTAGCGTCTTATCGATATTACATTTAATGTTAATATTTTTTAAATGTACAACTTCAACAAACGTGTAATTACAAATATTTTTAAATACATGACGTACACATTTCCATACAAATGACAGTAACGTATATACTAGTTTATGATAAATGCTTGGCTGTACATTTGGCAGATGGCTACATTTTAACCATATTTAAAAGAAGTAATTATGAAATTACATACAAGATGTACTTTAGTCCTACTTAAGTGGGTCAAAAATACAACACTAGTCCAGCTAATTGCATTTAATATAAATTATATACTTAAAACATAAATAATATTAAATTCTATTACTATGTAATTAATTAATTAACTCTTTCCCCACTAATCTTTTTTTTTTTTTAAGTTAGCAGCCAGTGCCAGCATTTTTGATCGTTTTTACAAATTTCATGGCCCCCAGAATATTTTGTTGTATGAATATCTGAACATGCAATATGTCAAAAGAAAGAACAGAGCTTCTGCTTTTAAACAAAACACACCGTTTTATTCTAGCTTCATTTAATCCTTTTTTTATCAACAATTGAATGAGGTTAAGTCTCATCAAAAAAGCAGCATTTTGAACGAAAAGCTCAGAAATTTTTGTTTTTTTATTTTTTCAAAGACTATGACAGGATCATATTCAGAACGATGATCAAAATATAGATGGAGTAAATTGAGTCCATCAACACCCCCAAAGCTTGCACAGTCCTACACCACATTTCATTCAGTACTGTTAGGCAGTTTTGATTTATATGCCGTTGAAAATTTGATGATAGCATCAGATACAAGCGTAAGCAATGCTTCTTCAGTTCGCTTGTTTCTGCTTCTTCTTCACTTGTTTTTGGATCTGGAGATTCTGTACTATTTCAGAAGATGTGTAACATCGCCCCCTACCATATAACAGTGAAGTGTCAGGGAAGCATTGTGTCGTAAATGACGGAAAATCCCATCAATGGCAGGAAAAGAGTCAAAATACAATCAAGTGCCCTAAAAAAGTACTCATTTTAAAAACATGCTAAAGTGTATTTCATTTTCACAAAGGAGTAACTATAGCAGGTTATTGATAGCACTGTTCATGCTGCTAGCTTAAATGAGAGGAGAATTAAGAAGCAGCCCAGGTGTTGTCTTAGTCAGCTCTTGTTAAAAATACTAACAGATGAGGTCAAGTCTTTTCCCTTTTGAGTCTTAATGAGCTGACATGGCTCTCACATGCTCTCTTATTAGTGAAGGATCAGATTTTAATCTAGATGAATCAAAGATAACTCTCTTTGAGAGATGTTGACATGGTGCTTAAAAAATGAAATGCACAGCATGTTCTGTACTAAAGCAACTGAGCTCTCAGTGCTTTTTACCTTTGCAGTAGTTTCCTAGATGACAACAAGAAGTTAACTCCTCGCAGAGATGTGCCTTCATACCCAAAGGTAAAATGGCAGATGTGTTTGTAATGGGTTCCTTTATTATTTTGTGTACTTATTCTGCTTTAATAATATGATATAGGACAGCATATACAGTACCATTTAATTACAGCAAGGTTTGTAATCAGAGTTCAAGGTTTATCCTTTAGAGAGCCACATGGTTTATGTTTAAGAATATATTAAGGAAGGTTTAAAGGGATAGTTCGCCCAAAAATAAAGATAAAAAAATGCTCATGAAATATCTACAAAATAATTACAAAACATTTAAAAGAAAATATACACTACCATTCAAAATTTTGTGATTTTTTAATGTTTTTGAAAGAAGTCTCTTATGGCCACCAAGGATTTGTTTATTTGATTAAACTACAATAAGAACAGTAATACTGTTAAAATAACTGTTTTGTATTTTAATACATTTTAAAATGTAATTTATTCCTGTGATGTAAAGCTGAATATTTTTAATAATTATTAAAAGAAATGTGTTTTATTTATTTATTAAAATCTTCACATAGCTCTTTTCTGCCAGTCAGGCTTGGCTTGTTGACAACAACAAGAAGTCAAGTCAAGTCACCTTTATTTGTATAGCGCTTTATACAATACAGATTGTGTCAAAGCAGCTTTACAGCGGCGAACAGGAAAATTGTTTGTCAATAATGCAAGACGTCAATAAATTTGTCAATTTTTCAAGTTAAAGTCAGTTCATTGATGATTCAGTGATGTCAATGGCAACAAAAGCCTATAAAAGAAATGTAAAAGTAGTCATTATTGAAATCTCAACAAGTCCTATCTACATTTACATTAAGATTGAAAAATATCAATTTCATGTCACTGAGGTTATTATTGTGATTATTGACCTCTCGGTATGTGACTTGGAATATAGTAGATTATGGGCTACATAAGGTATTATTTTTTGACGCTTTATTGTTGTGTTCACTATAAACTGGAAAAGAGCTGTGTGTGGATTTCACAAAAAAAGAGCATACATTTGTAATGACATGACAATGAGAGTGTAAATAATGATGTGAGTAAATAATAATGAATTTACATTTAAAGAAAGAATTCTTATTTGGGGTTAAAACCGGTATGTTGAACATAGATGTGAATGTGATGTACGCAATGGCCACAGCCAGGCGTTGGTCATCGGGGGTTAACTGAGAGCTCTGTCACCTGCAGTACATGCTCTCCCAGCAAACCATAGATGCCCTCAGAAAACCCGCCTTTGACGTCTGGCTGTGGGAGTCCAACGAGGTAAGAGTCTAACATGCCACTGTTCTGTCTCGCCCTGTTTTCTCTCTTCTGCGTCTGTTGCTTGTGTTTGTGGGGCTTTTGTAGTACCACCTCTCACAGGAGACAGTAGAAGCTTTGAGGCAGCCAGTCTTCGATGTGTGGCAATGGGAACCTAACGAGGTGAGGATCGGCCAAATGAAAGACGCAAAGTTCTACTGAAGTTGATGTACCAATGCACAAGATGTGTGATAGACACTTGGTGAAAATGACTGACATGCCAAACCACATTGTTTGTACTGCAGAAGATACTATCATCAGTGTTTTGTACTTTAAGATGCTGAGTTGTTTGGAGCATATGTACCATGACCTCGGGCTGGTAAAGGACTTAAATATTAACCCCATCACGCTGAAAAGATGGCTGGTAAGACTATACTATAAAATAATAATCCTTGGGCTGCGTTTCCTGATAACGGTGTCTCTTAGCGCGCTACGAAGACTCTAAAGATACACCTTAACTAGGGGTATACCTTTCCTAGGTCTGTTCCCCGAACTATACCTTAGGATGCTGCTTAAGGTAAACCTTCTTACGTGCGACGTTAGCAGGTGCTGTCCATGGCGGTGGTGCTGAATAGGTTGATATCGATGGCTCGAGAATCGATTGTTCACTACAGGAGCTCTTTCACTGCGTTATAGAGCGGGTAAAGTATTGAGAAAGTGATGTTCATTATAAAGAAGCACTTTAGAAATATTAGAAATTGCATTTATCGGGGCTCACTGCATTTATAAACTAATCAAATTTCAAACTAAATGCAACCTTGGATATCACACATATATATATATATATATATATATATACAGTGTGATAATATGCTATTTGGTGCTCAAGAAAAATGTTCTATTGTTATCAATATTGTAAACAGTTGTGCTGCTTAATATTTTTGTCTAAAAAAAAATTTCTGGATTCTTTGATGAATAGAACATTTCTAAAGAACAGCATTTATTTAAAATAGAAATCTTTAACAATATAAGTGTATTTACTTAATTTTGATCAGTGTAATGTGTACTTGCTTAATAAAAGTATTAATTTCTTTCAAAAAGAGTTAAGAAGGTTTCGGGAAACGCAGCCCAGGTCATTTTTTACCTGAAGAAGGTTTTCTTTTTCCTGAAAATACTGTTGTCACATTGGACTAAAACCTACTGACATTGCTCACACTGGGTATAACAACGTTTTGGGCAAATTTGTTTCCCCAACCTTGTTACACTTGTGGTGTTTAATCTTTTTGTCAAATTGTTTTCAGATTTTGTATTTCTTTTTGAAACTTGTTCATTAATCTGAACTTATGCACCTCCGTTAATGAGTGAATATTGTCAGAATTATCTACAAATAATGTTAGTTTTTTTTTCCATTTAAAAACTGAAGTGTATAAGCTCAGATCAGTGCTCTACGATCAGTCAGTTCCAAAAAAGAAATACAAAACCTGTGCTAATTGAAAGAAAACAAATTGACAAAAAGATTGAGTTCAAGATTTGGTGATAATATAGCATAATGAGAGATTTACAAGCTGGGAATAACTAATTAAATAAAGGATTTTCAAAACAGCACAAGTGATTTTTTTTAAGAATATATAGAGTATATATATATATATATATATATATATATATATATTT